CAGGAAATACAGAAAAAGCAAATCAAAACTTAAAAGGAGTTAAAACTGAATTCAGTTTGAGTGGCAAGGGCCTGCAGTTAAATATTTTATGATGTGGTATGTGTGGGATCATATTAACAACTTCAAGCAGTTTAGGCCTTCCTAGACTCTTTTCATGTGCTCTGTAGTTTTGACTCTGTCTCTACATAATTGCTGAAGGCTATGATATTCTTTCTACTACACGCTGCTTCTTGCTTTTCAGCCCCAACCCCACCAAATGTCGGTGCATTGTTACACTAGCATTCTTCACAGTCATAGAAAACTGCCATTTGGGTAGAAGGCATTATTAGCTGATCAAGTTAAATAAGCATGAAAGTGAAAAGTGTTTCCTATCAGTGAAATGAAATCTTTATATACATAATTAATGTCCTTCAAAGTCCTTTGATACTCGACTTGTTTGACATGGTTCCATTTAATGTTCGATGCTTATTAACTGGGAGTGAATTCCAGTGGCAAGTGAGCTCTGAACTCTGCCAATAAAAGAAAGCGAAGGAGTATGGCACTATATGAGTACCAGCACACAGAACAATGAATAGATGTCAAGCACATTGGGTAAATATCTGGTAACGTTTTATAGCCTCCATAAACATTTATACACCTCAAGCAAAATAAAAGTTCAGTGGTGCTGGGTTTGCTTTGCTATTTCTCTGACTGACTTCTGTCACAAATTCAAATATAGTACCCAGAGGCCTGATTAGGCACTGCGTGAACGTATGTGGAGACCCAGTCTTTTCTCCAAAGTGCTTACTAAGCACTAGTAACTTGTAAAAAAAATTGCTATGTTAATAGTGAGACTCTCCTTTCAATGTACAGTCCCATTTACTGTTTAACTCACAAGGTGGCTTTTCTAGGAGGGGAAGATGTGTAGGGAACACGGTAAATGGTGCTCTGCTCTTTCTCTCTTACCAAAAGGACGATGCTTTTTGTTGCTTATGGAAGGGTTTGTAGGCATGTTTTCAGCACAGTACTCCTGTTTGACCTGCTATTGCTAAGGGTCTGTCAACCATTCTCTTTGACATCCCCGTTTTCAGCTTAGAAAGGAGACCGTTGCTCTCCGAAAATGAGCTTTTCAAGAAAAGCAAACTTAAATCCTTCCATACTGTTTTAAAAGAAGAAATGTACCTGACTTTGTAACCCTGAAAAAGGTCAATAGTGGACATGACGTTGGATGCGAACTTGCAATGGGATATATAACAGTCCCCCCAAAGCCCAAGCTTGGACTCTAGGGGTGTCGGGATGGGGGGAGGGGGCTGCCTTTCATGTAGCTCTGGTGAGACAACACTTCAAATACTACAGACAGGTTTGGGCAGAGGAAATTCAAAGAAGGACATTAAATAAATAGCTGGAGAGACTGGTTTTTATCAGGAAAGATTATAAGAACTAATTATGTCTGGGTTGGCTAAATGCCTGGCAAATGTGGGGACATAGTAACTGTATAGGAGTATCTGTGTTTGCTGGGGGTAAATGCCATGAAGAGAGAGGAATTGTTCAGTGTGGGCCAGAGTAAAGGAAAACTGAAGCTGAATATTGGAAGTGCCTTTATCGTAGACTGAAATAGTTTTCTAACATGGCAGAAACACCTTTGCTTTTGTATCTTGTTTGTAATGTCATCAGGGACAGTCTTGCTCTGGCCCTTGTAGGGTGTTTTAGGTATAATCTAAGAAAGCTTTTATCACCCCCCCGATTCTGTGTGTGTCTCTGAACCAGAGAAATGTGGTCCCTTTAAAAGGCTTCCTAAACACAGAGAAGGAAACATAGTTCCAATTAATTTAGGGTCACCACCAATACAGTTTTCACTTGAACAGTCAGGTTTTGGCTTGTGTGTCCAGGTGCCATTTGACAAGCCCTGATGTCCGTTTTTTTTTTTAATGTGGGGGGCAATTGGCGGAGAAAGGGGCGGGACTTTGGGGGAAGAGGAGGAGAAAGGGGTGAGGCCTCAGGGTCTGGTTACCAGCCATTAGAAAGGTGGCAACTCTAGGTTAGACAAACACAAATTTACACACATTTGTGTGTTGGAATACTAGAGACAAAGTCACAGGAGTTCTGTAAATTGGTCAGCAAAAGCACATTAAAATGTAAATCACAGTGATGGATGGTGGAGAAATCAGTTCATTGCAATAGCAGGTATAATGCAGTATTGGGCAGGAGAAATGAAGGAAATAATCTCAGGTTAACAGTGCTACTCAATATGGTCTCGCATTTTAGTTAACAATGACACTAAGGGCCGGATTGTGATACCCCTTACTCACACACTGAGTAGAGCAATACTCTACCTATAGTCCCATTGAATCAGTGAGGACTATTCAAGGAGTAAGGTACTTCTCAACATGGGTAAAGGTTGCAAAATCTGGTGCTCAGTAAAGTGTCAGCTCTGTATAGATAGTTCTTATTTTCATTTTTAAATATTTTATTTATCAATAAAATGTCAACATATTGATGCACTTAGAGAAAGAGGGGTGTGGTAAGAGCCTTAATTTCCATAGGTTTCCACTTTATAGGGAAATAAAAACCTATTAAAGGAACACTCTTAAGGAGCCCAAGCAACAAATAATATCTCTGCGTAGCCATAAATAGGACAAGAACATCTAAGAAAGTAAATGGGCATTGGTACATTGGCGATGGCGATCATCTTTTAGAATGCAAGTATATTGGTTGGTAAGGGGCTTGCAAAATACCAACTTAGGGGTTATATAACTGAAACATAATAGCATCTGATTAATATTTCAGCAACAGAAAAATGAATATATAAAACAAGATATGTGGAGTGATTACACATGGCAACTTTTTACAAAACATAGTTACATATAAACTGGAATTGTTTACAGTGATGAAGATGAGAAATGTAACAAGTTTTCATTTGATTTCATATTTATATTTAGTTATTAACTCATTTTTCTTTTATGTAACTTAAACAAATGTTAAACCAGAAATACAATATGAACCGCTTCTCATACTATATTTTTCATCTATTGTACACCTGCAAACTGAGTTGTTGGTTTTTAAAATGTGTGTGAGCAAAAATAATTTTATTGTTAAGGATCATGTAGTTATTGTAATTAAATACCTTTTATTTAAAAATCAATGGGAAAGATCTTATATAAACTACTAGTTCAAGAAAAAATGTTCTATCTGTTCTAATCAACTAAGTTTAGTAAAACTTCCTACCAGTGGCACTGGAGCAAATTTTAAGGGGAGATCCTGGCTGGAGTAAAAAAGCTTAAGCAGAACAAACACACTAAGGAGACAGTGTTTGCTATGGAAAGAAGCTTTTTATAGATAAATGCTGTGGAACATCCTTCCATATAGTAGGCATCAAGAATACAAACTATCCATTAGTTTTCCTGTTAAAGTAGAGTTGTGAAACTTCATTTTATTGTCATGTCTCCCCATGCTTACTTCGTTTCACACTGCTTAACTTAAAGTACTTTTTACATGTACCAAGGTACTGTACCCTCACTGTGTGAAACCTAAAATAATGCCGTGATAACTAATAGACACTTTGAGAGGTATTTTAGTTAGACAATTGCTGATGTGGAAATTGGGCAGAAGGGAATTACATCAGCTAGGCATCAGATGCACAAAGAATTTATATTTGGACTGCCACAAGGCACTAATGGTTGTGTATGGAATGAATCAGGCATAGAATGTAAAATGTGGGAAGGAATAAAAACATACACTAAGTACACCTCCTTCTCCTTACTCTCACTGAAGAGAACACTTTCATCATATTGGTTGTTAAAACTTTGCTTTTAACTAAATCTTATTGTGCAGTGATGATACTGAGTTTCCCTATGGTTAAATAGCTTGATAGGTTTTTTTGTTCTTTGCTGTAGTGCTTCCCTTTAACCCTTCATATGAAAGGTTGCTGCCTTTGCATTGCCACAGGCTTAGAATCTACGTTCAGGAGAGGTTTTAGTAATGGATGTATGCCAAGATTAGCAGGGCTGTAGTACCATTCTGTTTGGTTCTTTGTTAGACATTTTATGTCTCTTCTTTAGAAGGGTGCTTTCTATTACTTATTCCTCTCTGTACCTACGTTCCTAAACTTACCAAGGGTCTTAGTGGATTCTCCATCACTGATGATTTTTAAATCAAGATTGGCTGTTTTTCTAAAGATCTGCTCTAGGAATTGTTTTGGGAAAGTTTTATGACCTGTGGTTTATACACAGTGGTCAGACTAAATGATCACAATGGTCCCTTCTGGTCTTGGAATCTGAAAACCAATATCTTTATTTCTCAGCTGACATCAACAGTCTGGATGGTACTGTATTCCCAAATTGTAGTGTGGCTGTACCCTCTGTCTCCTCTTGTATCATTTATTTTTAGTGCTTATAGTTAAACAGAGACCCACCACACTTGACATTTTACCAACATAATTACTTGGAATATGTTTTGTTCAGAACAGTATATTTATCTGTGTGTGACTATAGAGATCTACATTTATAACACAGAGACCATAGGTCTGGCATGTCTAAACTTCACTGAACCGTGCCAGATTACCTGGGGACTTCACCAAGTGGGCAAAAAATGAGGCATATGGTATTCTCCCGCATCTTTAATGTGAAGATGTGGCCATTAAGACTATCTCCGTATGCAGTGTTTCATCTTGAGCCAGGTAGCCTCTTGGAAGCTCACCTATTAAGATGTTGTTTCTCTGTTACACCTTTGCATTAAAGACAAGGGCACTGTGGATCTCCTTTTAGTCTGCTGGTTTTTGCTGCTCTATCTTAGGTTTATCTATGATTTCACTTTGAGTGAGTCTCTCAGCATTTTGCATATGACATCAAAATGGTAGACACTAACATTCAGTAGTGAATGCATTTGATGTAAAAATGTACCCTTTGGTAATATCCAACTGTAACATTTGCTGTTTTAGGAGCTGTGGTTGAGATGGAAGGCTGAGGAGCTAAACCTTATGCTGGCGGTCTACATATGGACACTGAGGCTTGAGTGAACACGGAATGAAAATGCTGCCTGGAGTGGGCGTTTTTGGGACTGGCAGCACTGCCCGGGTACTGGTACCTTTGTTGAGAGCAGAGGGTTTCTCTATCGAAGCACTTTGGGGGAAGACTGAAGAGGAAGCAAAGCAGCTAGCAGAGGAAATGAACATTGAGTTCTACACAAGTCGGACTGATGATGTCTTGCTGCACCAGGATGTAGATTTGGTTTGCATCAACATCCCTCCACCGCTAACCCGGCAAATTGCTGTGAAAGCTCTAGGTACTGTGTTTTCTCTTTTAAGTCAGAGCAAAAGGTTTTTTTGACTATCTGATTGAAAAAACACTTTGTAATAGATTTAAATTTGTAGCTGTTGACTTGTCAATGAATAATCAGTAGTACTATAAATACACCATTCTAAATTGTGTTGTATTTGAAGCTGGTAGTGCTGCCTGTAGTTAGTTACCTGACACTTCCCATTAGAAGACCCTATTTATAGTTTCTTATAACTTTAACTGTTTAGGTTGAAATGTCCCATGCTGGGTATCTGCCTCAGGCTGAATTGTTTTGGAAAGTTTCAGAAAAAACGGTCAGCTACTTTGGAGAATGAGATTAGGGCAAAATATATTTTGTTGCCCATGTTCAAAAAATTTTTTTACAAGGGTTTAACTGAGAAGCTCTAGCGCCCCCATGCTGTGGAGCAGGGACTTCAAATTTTTTGGGGGTGGTGTGGCGCTGGCTTTCCTTCCATCTCCCTTCCCCCCCAGCTGAGGGATTTTTTGTTTGTTTGCTGTTCACATTAAAAAAATGACCAAATTTGACCAAGTGATGAGGTTTTGAAAAAATCTGCAGATGCTCAAGAGACTTGTGAGCTTGGCAGCTAAATTCTTTGACTATTCAGTACTGAGCATGCTCCATCCAGGGGTTGAGCTGGACTTGCCTGGCTCCTAGTTGCTGCTGGCTCCTATGGCACTACACATACGAATGGAAAGCCTGGAGAGTATCTCTTGTTGCTCTCTGCTGGCACCTGGCAGCATGGTATATGAGGAGGAATCCTCCTGACTGAAACACAGAGGGGGCAAAGGCTGAGCCAAGATAAGGGTGGAAGAAGTGGATTAGGACAAGAACTCAGGAGGGGGAGGGCTGAGAGTTGGTGTGGAGAGGGAGAGATACTGGGACTGGCTGCACAAGGAGACTGGGAACTGGTTGCATAGGCAATTTGAGTTCCCCAACTTCCTAACTTTTGATTTCTTGACCTTAATGTTTTTATACAGGGTGGTGAGTGCCTATATATAGTCTTGTAAATCTAAAGTTCGACTTCTTGTTGACTCTTAATAGAGATCAAAGTGAATGGGTTTATAGGATTGGGGAATATGTCGTGCTGTATCAGCTAGGGTAATCCTTTATTCTCTGCCTTTTAAGTAGATTTTTGTGCTAAAGTAACTTGTTTTTGAAGTATACATCTCATGCTAACCCTTCTAAGATGTCAGTCAAATGTTCGGGGAGGTGATCTTTGGGTTTTGTCTTCACGTTGTTGTTAGACTTGTATTGAGTGCTTTATTACTGCTAGTCCTAGGTCCCAAGGAACTACTCCGATGGAAAATTTAATGTACACGTGAGAATTCATTGCTTGAAATATGCTAAAATCTCTTCTAAATGCTGTTTAAATGGTGACCGTTTCACTTGCTATGATACCCTCTGCAGGTTACACATGAAGTGAGATGAATTTATGTGGTTGAACCTTTTCTGGTAAACTAAGCTGAACACGAGACAAATTTAGGTTGTTAATAAAACTCCCATCCCTCAAAGGTAAGGAAACATTAAATGGCATCACTCCAATCAAAGGAGGTGAAGAAAATGAAGTTGTGAGACAAGTGTTTATGCAGTTAATGGAAAAGTGAAAAGAGAGGGACTGATGGCTTTTAAGAGATCAACAAATAAACTCTGGAACAGCAGAGGATTATTTACTTTTCATTTATTTTTATTTTCCCTGAAGTGGTCTCATCTAAAGACTGTCTGATGCGCCCATTTCAGAGTCAATAGATAATTACTAGTTCTCCTGTCTTTCAGCTTTTTCTAAATTTGTCTAGGATGTTCCTTAAACACATTTCTGGTGGGACCAAATTCCAGAAGCATGCGCATACTACCAAAAATGTTCTTCCTTGGTCCAGAATTTTGGAGGAACACCTGTTATATGATGGGCTCAGAGGTGGCAAGTATGCCTGTTAGGATATCAGCATTAAAATAGCAATCATTACATCTAGAGCCTTTTTGCAAGGGAATTGTATGTGGCTGGGGGCAAACTTGTGCTTTACCAGCTGGGAGATTGGGGAACTGAGAATGGCTAGACTGCTGTGCAATGAAAGCCAGTCTCACCATGTCAGGTGTTTGGCCATGGGAGGAGGCAGTGGTACCAGGTGGCACTAATATTAGTTTACATTTTTTTAATTTATTGGTAACCATAAACAGTTAATCAACAATCCAATAACACGTAGGGGTACAGTCCTAACATAAGTGACATTCTAATATTAACTTTGAGCCATGAGCAAGGCATAGCTGATCAATGCCTAGACAGTAATCAGAATTAAGACCAGCATGACTAATAAGTAACCAGTAAGGCAAGAAACTATTTTACATTTATGTACCACTTTTCACCCCAAAGGATCTAAAGCCACTTCATAAAATGTGTCTCATATTGCCCACAACTGAAATGCAGCCACCTCTTGATAGAATGCATCAGTTTAAGGTAGAAAGCAAAAAGAAACATATCTAACTGAAATGGCTTCGGAACTTAGGGAGGCAGAATATTAGAAAAACTCAAATTAGAATTTGTTCAGGACACCAGAGCCAACATGGCTGCACCTACCTTGCTGATCCTTTAAAGAGTTGATTTATGGAGTAGATAAAGAGGGAGCCATTCAGCTGCTGTCTCTTGGCTTAGGTGGGTTTTTACTTATTTGAAAGATAAGAGAGATCTTTGTGATGTATGCTTTGTTTGTCAGTCTGGCTTTGTGGGATAATGTATTACAATTACATTAAATGTATGTTTGTCTTGAGGTAGACAGAAAAGGGCTCTATCACTGTTTTGCATTTTTAGATAATTCACCCTTGTCGTTCCTGGAGCAGGTGTCCTGTGATGTTGACCAAGTATATTACTATTACTGTTTGCATACAGCTTTTCCATCTCCTTATCGCAAGCAGTGGGAGGATTTTTGTGTTTCAGAGCTTGTGTAAACAGGAAGTAGCAAAATAAAGGAAAGCATTTTGGACTGAGTTTATCACATTCCTGCATAGATGGAATAACGTGAATAACGTAGCTGAAGTCGACGTACTTAGATCGACTTACCGTGGTGTCTTCACCGCGGTGAGTCGACTGCTGTCGCTCCCCCATCGACTCTGCCTGCGCCTCTCGTGGCGGTGGAGTACAGGAGTCGACAGGAGAGGACTCGGGGGTCGATTTATCGCATCTAGACTAGACGCGATAAATCGATCCCCGTTGGATTGATCCCTGCCCGCCGATCCGGCAGGTAGTGTAGACGTACCCTAGGATTTTTAAAAATTTCCTGTGATAGACATTTTAATGTAGGATAAGTAGCAGTACTGGTGGTGATGGGGTCAACATTGTAACTTACACGTTTGGAGGCAGGAGGGGCAAGCTGAAGTGAATCTGGTATTTGTGAAAAGTGCTGGATAGACAGTTCTGGAAACTGCAGCCATGTCAGTTAATCACTGAATAGGCGCGTCAAGGATTGTGGTTGTAGGGTTGCAGAATATTTGTAGCATAATCTTCCTGCAACTCAGCTGCCAGTGTGCACAAGCCCTGACCTTAAAGGGACCACCCCACTCAGGAGCAAGAGGGGGAGTTTATTTTGTATAGCCCTGAGCCTTTCTGCTGTGACTGGTCAGAAGTGTGCAAAGTGTGATGTTCTCAAAATTAAAAGATGGACCTGCCAGCTGCTTGACAGATTATTGTACAGCTTTCAGGTGACTTTTATTCTCTAACAACCTGGGCTGTATATGAACCGCTGAAAGGCTCCATATCCCATTAATAATTCGTTGAGGTATCTAATGTGCACACACTTTCTTCACACTAATATTAAAATGGCCAAGACTAAATTCATGGATTATAGCAGAGCAAGAGCTCTGCTATAGTTAACCTTAAGACCAGCTTTCTGTTTAAAGCTCAACTCTTAAGTGCTTTAAAATGTACATGGTTACTTGGATTGCTTTGAAATGTGGTGTGCTTCATGGGGTTTCGGGGTTCTGTTGTGGATCCAAATTTAGGGCCATTTGACCCAGGGTTTCCTAAAATGCAGCCTCTGGGGGGGAGGGGAGAGAGAGACGGACTTTTCTTAACGCTGACAGATTCTAGCAACTTATTTTTGCTCACGGAGAGAGATCAAACCCAGGGCTCAGCCAGGGGTGAAAATAACTTAAAGGACTTACTGGTACTCCGGAGCCCTTAGGAGCGGGTGGGGCCTCAACCAGAAGAGGCGGGGCCTTTAAAGCCCCGTGCCCTTTAAATCGTCCCCGGAGCCTTGGGGAGGCGGCGGTGGGGCTCCGGCGGCTATTTTAAGGGCCGGGGCGGTAGCGGCGGCCGGAGCCCCGGACCCTTTAAATATTCGCTGGCGCCCCGCCGCCGCTACCCCAGGGCTCCAGTCACTGCTGGGAGCCCCAGGCCCTTTAAATTGCCGCCAGGGGAAGCCAATCCACCCCGGTACGGCGCACCGGCTTACTTTCACCTCTGGGCTCAGCTCATCGCTCCAGGGTCCCAAACACTTGAGTTACCCCAACAGAATGCTGCCCTTTGGGGGAAATCACATTCAAATGTCATTTGATTGAAAAAGTTGACTTCTTTAGGCACACTAAGGCTCATGAGCCTTTTCTCACACCTTAAAGGTTACACTGAGCATGCACTGACAACAGGATTATTAACACCAGCTGGGTAGCTCAAGGGGATCAGCAGTAGTACTTTGAACTTGACCTACCCAGCTAATATCAATTTGAGTCCCATGTTGGGCAGAAATTTGGAAAAGGCAGGTTGCGAAAATCTGCCTGTCAGGGATTTTGGTTTGGTTTTGTTTGTTTTTGGGGGTGAATCCAAGTAAAATTCTTTGAAATCTGCTGATGAAAAGCACTGTTTAAAAGCTAGGTCTTTTGATTATTGCCTAGCCATAGCATATCTGAGGTAGCATATCCACTGCAAGCCTCAGTGAGAACTACAACTGTCTAAATGACCGTTGACGCCCACCAACAAACATTTCTTTTTCTGTTTAAAAAAC